TTAGTTTTAAGTCGTTCTGATTTTTCATTTTTGAAATGATGGCGTTGGTCCATGGGATGTCTAGTTGGGTTGATAAATTGTTTGGCAAACGTCAATATATATTTTTTATATAATAAAATATAATATAATTTAAATTTTTAATAAAATTAAATATATTTTTTTATATTTTTATATTGATATAAATTATAATATATAAATTTTATATAAAATACAATACAAATATATAAATATTAATATTTTTATAATATAAATATATAAATTATCAAATCTAAATACAATACAATTGAGATATTTTAAACCCATTAAACTGCAAAATTGACTGAACCCATGAAGGTTCGGTGGAAAACTCTCATTCCCACCTGACCTCCACTTCTCAAAAATACTCCAGCTCTCCTATTTTTGTTCTTTTTTTGCCATACATGGACGAAAATGTCCTTGCCACATTGCTTTTCCTTTTTTTTTTTGTTTAAAATTTTTTAAATAACTTTTTAAATTTAATAAAAATAAGTAAAATTTTATAATTTATAATTAACTAATTAATAACTAAATAACTTAATTATTATTTATGTATTTATTCAAGTTCTAGTTATTTATTTATTTTGGCCAATAAATTTATTTGGTTGTTTATTTTTATTGAAAAATTAAACAATCCTAAATCCAAAAATTTTAATAATTTATTACTTTCATAAATGTCAAATACACTAAAATTTTCATTATATACAAACTTTAATCTCATTATTATTTGATATAAAATACTTTTCATGTTTTTTAATTATTATTAATTTCACAAATATAAAAAAATATACTATAAATTTTATTATATACAAGTTTTCATCTAATATCTTTAATGTTTTTTTTTTTTCACTATACTTCACCTTACCGTCACAACTGCATCTACATCCAAACAAATCTTTCACCATTATAATAACCAGTTTTCATAATTAAAATAATTAATTTTATCTCTACCACTATTTTCAATCTCACTATAATTAATTTACCATCCGTCTAAATGAATCTTAAGTAAACGATTTTCTTGCTATGAGTAAGCTAATATTTATATATGAAAAAGAATCAATTTATATAGTATAATTTTTTTAGTTATATATATATATATATATATATATTTTTAACTATTGATTTTAATATATTCAAACGATGATTTTTTTTTTGTTTTTACTTATATCCCTTATATCTATTAAAATCAATATTAAAAAATATGTAAAACTAAAAAAGTTTGATATTATATAAGTCAGTCCCTTCTCTTTATTTTGTATTATATATTAAATAAATTTAAATTAGCTCCCAAATTAAAGGATTAAAATAACAAAAAAACTTTTGATTTTCCCATGTACGAAATTGATAGACTTTACAAAATCAGATTTTCTTAAATTCTAAACCTCAAACATGTGATGAATACATTTTTAGAGAATGTAAAATCTATTTGGGTAAATTGTGATTCCTTGGAAGAAATTATTAAAGGGAAAAAAGGTCAAAACAAGATATTTAAGATGCATCATAAGAATTAATTGAGAGGCATAAAAAATGATGTGTTACACACCTTGGCTTCCCAAAAGCAGAGATCAGTGTGACAAAGTGAGGCATATTTGATTTTGATCCTCACTTCCATGCCCTGTGGTGGAGCAACTTCAATTTGCTGAATCACCAATGGTTTTCCCGGCTTCTCATGTAACAAACATTGCAAACACAAAACTTTCAACTATAATTAGAATTTAAGAAAAACATAAATGATGTCAATTTTAGGATCCATTTCCATTGATATATCTTAAAACTCATGGTAATGCTCATGTAAATTCATTAGCCATAACATTAGCCTATAAACTAGAAAACTTATACAAAACAAATAAATTCAATAAAGGCTCAAGGGCTTAAGGGCTAGAAGTCACGGGCTCAAAGTTACGAGCTCACAAGCTCAAGGGCAGGCAACAATGAGGAAAGGGCGGCTTGGGCATGGGCCCATGGCAAAGAACAAGGAGAGGAGAAAGGAAAGAGGATAGGAGAGAAAGGAGGAAGGAGAAACAAAAGTTAAGAATTTCAATTGGGGAAGAAAGGAAAGGTGAAGAGGATTTTTATATTTAATTGACTTTATTGACGGATTTTTTTTTTAATTTTTAGCAACAGATTATCTACAGAATCCACTGTATTTTTTTATTTTTAGAGATTGATTACCAACAATTAAAGAATTTTTCCTCCCAATTTAGTTCCAAAAAATATATTTTTTTTAAATCAGAAATTTTTATTTGATGAAATAAATACATTGGTAAAATTTTTAGTGACAGATTACTAACGAATTTATTCCGTTAGTAAAAAAATGCACTAAATCTTCATTTTTTCCTCGGTAACTTAACTTATGGAATACTGACGAATTTTTTTACTATTGGTAAATTTCGTCGATAAAAATTTCTTTTTTTTTTATTTCCTTTGATAAACCATCGAAAATCTATCAATAATTATTAACAAAAAATTTTATTTGTGAAAATCCATTGATGTTAAAGAGATTTTTTAATAGTGATTATTAAGGATCCTCTTAGACTCTTAGATGATCTTACAAATAATATATGATAGCATATTGATATGTCAAATTTTAAATAAAATTGACTTTTTTTAAAAGGCTTTTTGTATTTTTTATTGAAAATTTAACAATGAATATCTACGATTCACACCTTTATCCAAAACAATTTGTACACTCAAGCTGCTTTCCAGCTTTTGCAAATTTGCTTCATTCTAGGTCCATGTCTAGATCATTAACAAAAAAAAAAAAAAAGAGTATTGTTTATGTAGAGCTCGATCTAAAAGGTAAAGATTTAAAATCAAATAAGTTCAAAGGTTAGTTAGAAATAAAGGTAGAAGTTGTTTTTGATATTTGTATTTTCACACTTAAATTATAGTTTAGAAAAAAAGAAATGGGGAAATATAAAGAGAGTTTGTACATAATTACTTTCTCATACTCTAAAAAAGATGGGATATTTATAATTAAGGAATGAAGTGTTTGGATCTTTGTGATTTGATCTCTTAGAGTCGATTCTAATACCAATGGAGTCGATCTAAAGTAACATGGCAAGTAAATGTTAAATAAGAGAATGACAAGTCAGCATATTCCTATGCTATCAGGTGGAATGTAATGCTAGCGAGTTAACATAGACTATAAAAAATGAGATCAATTTAGCATGTCAACTTAGATCAAATGATCAAAATAACCCTAACAGTGTGTTTGGATTAGAGGGAGAGGAAGGAAGGAAAGTAAAGTAAGAAAGTAAAGGAAATAAAATCTCATTCCTTTGTTTGGATAAATATTTAATTTAAAAAAAGGAAAAGAGTTGGAACCAAATAACTTTAGTTTCTCTTGTAAATCTAATATTTTTAATACTACAATTTGGAGGAAAAGTTAAGGAAAGGAAAGTTGAAAATTTTTTTTATAAAAAGACTATTATGTATATTTTTTTATTAATACTAAAAACCTAATAAAAAAACTAAGCAAATCACAATCATCCTGTAGTTTTTTTAAAACCATATATTTTTTCAAGTAAGTTTCATATGTATATATTCCAATATAAAAATTTTTTATAATTTTTTTGTGATTTGATTTTGATGAATGGTTGAATATAAATAAATATATTTTTTAAATTTATGAGATGTAAGACTAGCTCAAAATTCATCAATACATATTTATAAAACATATTCCCATTTCATTTGATTAAAAATCACTGATATAGTAATAATTGTGAGGTAAAACAAGATAATAAACATATCATTGTCTAAAAGTACTATAAAATCACAGGTAATGAAATGTTATAATTGAAAATAATTATTATAATGAATTATTTTCTTTCTTTATTTATTATTTATCTAAACAATAGTTGTTAGAATTGTTTTTCTTTTTTTTTTTTTTATTAATTTTTAGTTATCTAAACAAGAGTTACATATATATTTTCCTTTCATTTAAAAAAGTTTTTTTTTATTAATATTTATCCAAACAAAGTTGTTAGTTAATAGTAAGTCATTTCTATTGTGACAAAACACACTTATGCTCTTATGACAAAAAAAAAAAAAGTCTCTAACAAGTACCATTAGATTTTATAATGTAAAAATGACATATGTTAATCTTTTAAGGCTAAAAATAATAAATAATAATAAAAGCTCATAAATTTTATCATTTTATTTAAATAAACTTTTATACTTTTATTACACTAAAATAAGCCTTTAATATTTAATTTACATTCAAGTAACCTATTAAATTTTAATTTATATCTAAATAAATATTTAATCTTTAATTTGTACCTAAATAAATCATTATATTAATTTTTTATTTGAAGTAAAAGCTTACATAGATACAAATGAAAATATAAAAATTTATTTGGATACAATAAAATTATAAGTACTTATTTAAATAAAATTTAATAGTTCAAGGGTTTTGTAGTATTTTAGCTGTCTTTTAATTTTTTTAAAATTTTAATTTATCAATAAACCCATATTTTATTATTTATTTGGTTAAAAAATTGTTATGTATATAAATTTTTTTAAAATTATAATTTTTAAATACCAACTTTAATAATATATTAATTTATCCAATAACCAATCTATAACTAGCTTTTAATTATTGATTACTTTTATTGCATTGGCACTCCACCATCCTAAAATGCGTAGAGGGAATTAGTAGTATGCTTTGTAAAAAAATCATTTAAAAAATTAATGGAGTGTTTTCTATGCACATTTTTTTAATGCTATACAACGTTGCAGGCCTTTGATGAGTAAAGCGGAAATAGGAATGGTAAGGATGTGTTTTTATTCAAATATAATTTTTTAATATTTATATTTAATTTTGATACGATTTGGTATTAAAATATTATTTTTAAATTGAATTTGATTTAGTTTATATTAATAAATTATAATTTAATGATTTAATTTGTTATAATATTTATAAAATATTATTTTTTAATTAAATTATATTTTAAATTAAAAATATTAAATAATAATTCGGATTAATCTCGATTTAAAAAACAAATCCGATCAGTCTTCATTTTGATTTTCGATTTAAAAAAAACATTTAACCCTATCGAATCGGGATTGATCAGAACCTGTTGAATACGGATTCCTTTTGCCGTCGCTGAGTTAAGCGTGTGTGGCAGAACCTGTTGCATCTTAACCACATTCAGCTCTGATTCTCAGTTCGGTGAAATTTGCGTTTTCATTTGTTTGTCTTTGTCCTCTTTCTCTGTTTTGAAAATATTGGCAAAAAAGATGCGGTTAAGATGCATTTTCCCGGTTAAATGGAAACATAACAGATGGAAAAGTTTCTTGAAACTATACTCAACTCAGCAACCCCGAATAATATCTACAAATATTTCTATAAATCAGTTTATAAAAAGCGGGCGGTTAGACATCGCGCGGAATCTGTTCAATGAAATGCCAAGCAGAACCGTAGTATCTTGGAACACCATGATTTCTGGTTACACAAAGTGGTGGAAATTCAATGAATCGATTGATTTACTTTCAACGATGCATCGGAGTGATATAAGGTTTAATGAGTCCACTTTTTCCACTGCATTAAGCGTGTGTGGTCGCCTGCGATCTTTAACTGATGGAAAACAGATTCATTGCGTTGTTATCAAGTCTGGGTGTGAGAGTTTTGAGCTTGTTAGAAGTTCTTTGTTGTATTTTTATGCCAATTGTTTTGAGATCAAAGAAGGGGAGCGGGTTTTCAATGAGTTGCACGATAAAAATGAGTTGTTGTGGACTTTGATGATTGTAGGTTATGTTGAGTGTAGTTTGATGAATGAGGCTCTTGATTTGTTTATGAAGATGCCAAAACGGGATGTTGTGGCTTGGACTGCATTGATTTCGGGATATGTGAAGAGCGAAGAGGGTTGCGAGAAGGCTTTGGAGTTGTTTTGGTGGATGAGATGCAGTGGTGAGGTGGTGCCTAATGAGTTCACCTTGGATTCTGTTATAAGGGCTTGTAGCAGGCTTGGTGATTTATGTAAAGGGAAGCTTGTTCATGGGATTTTGATCAAATATGGATTTGAATTTAATCAATCAATTGGTGGTGCATTGACTGAATTTTATTCTGATTGTGAAGCTATTGATGATGCTAAGAGAGTCTATAATGCAATAACAAGTCCCTGTTTGAAACCTTCAAACTCACTTATTGGAAGGCTTATATCAATGGGTAAGATTGAAGATGCAGAACTAATTTTTAATAAACTAGTTGAGGCAAATTCATTTTCATATAATCTGATGATTAAAGGGTATGCAGCTTGTGGTCGAGTTGAAGATTCAAAAAGACTATTTGAAGAGATGTCTCGAAGAACAATAGTTTCTACTAACATAATGATTTCTGTATATTCCAGGAGTGGGGAGATTGATAAAGCTTTAAAGCTGTTTGAAGAAACACAATGGGAAAGAGACCCTGTGACATGGAATTCGATGATGTCTGGTTGTATTCAAAATCAGCAATACAATGAGGCTCTGAAGCTGTATCTGAACATGTGCAGATTTCAAATAGAGCGTACAAGGTCAACATTCTCAGTTCTCTTTCATGGATGTTCATGCCAGAGATCTCTTCAACAGGGACAATTACTTCATGCACACTTGATCAAAACACCATTTGAATCAAATGTTTATGTTGGAACATCCCTGATAGATATGTACTCCAAATGTGGTAGCATCACTGATGCTTACAAATCATTTTCCAGCATCTCTTCTCCTAATGTGGCAGCATGGACATCTCTTATTAATGGGTATGCACACCATGGGTTTGGCTCTCAAGCTATCTTACACTTTGAGCATATGTTGGAGAAAGGAGTGGTCCCTAATGCTACTACTTTTGTTGGAATTCTGTCTGCCTGTGGTCATGCTGGTCTAGTCAATGAAGGAATGAGACTGTTCAGCTCAATGGAAAAATGCTACGGTGTGGTTCCAACTTTAGAACACTATGCATGCATCGTTGATCTTCTTGGACGGGCAGGTCATCTGCAAGAAGCTGAGGAGTTTATTAAAAAGATGCCAGTTGAAGCCGATGAGGTTGTTTGGGGAGTTTTACTCAATTCTTGTTGGCTCTGGATGAACATGGAAGTTGGTGAGAGGGTGGCAGAAAAGATGTTCAGTTTGAATCCAAAGACTATGTATGCTTATGTAATTCTATCTAACATATATGGAGTACTTGGGAAATGGGAAGAAAAGATGAATGTAAGGAAGAGGTTGAGAGACTTGGAAGTGAAAAAGGATCCAGCTTGTAGTTGGATTGAGCTGGACGACAGACTCTTTGTGTTTTCTGTAGAGGATAGAAGCCATCCGTATTGTAACATGATTTATGCCACCTTACAGCATCTGGCAACAAATTTAAACTCCTTTCATTTTGATTTATTTTGATTGTGACTGCTATACTAAGAAAAAAGGCTGGCTGTCCTCGTGCAACACACAACAGGGATCAAGCTCTTGTAGTTGTCTCATCTAGCTTTTCTTTTGTAGATTCACCATTGGTGATTCCTAAATTATATAATTCTAACTGAGCAGTAAAGTATAGCTTTATCTTTCTTCTCTGAGGTATTTAATATAGTTCCTATTACGAGTGCAGCGTTATTATTATTCTAGAGGCAATGTCTTGTTTGTGTCCTTGGCACTGATATGATGTAGTAAGCATTCCCTTTTGGAATGATATTTCGCTAAAAACATTTAAAGTTCCAAACCCAATAGTTTTTTCTTCCTTATTTTATCTGAATTTTGAAACTTGACAATTGAGTGAGCTCCTTCATTGACATGATCAGAATTGCCTTTTATTTATTGTTTTTCAATTATGTTGTATCTATTTTGCAAAACAGTTGCTGCCTTTGAGTTTAGTGTCTTTGAGATTAGTTGGATAAACCATCAAAATTTTGAACCATTATGTAGTTGGTTCCTGGTAGTTTATATTTTCCATTTGATTCACATGATCTTATGCTCTTTCTTTTTACTAAATAATGGTGGTCAAGCGCCGATCACTTTAACTTGGTCTGACATTTATCTGAGAGTGCTTAATATTTCAAAACATGGTAAGATTAGCAGCATCAAGAGGGAGAGTATTCACTTAGACTAGTAGCATTATCGCATATATCAGAAGTAATTTGTCAAACAGGCTATTTACTATTAGATAGTTACACGGAGACTCAGTGAGATTTTTATTGCAGATAATCCTAATCTTGGTGATTGAGATTGCTGGTTTGACTAAGGATTGCATTGACGCAAACTTCTCTAGTTGAAGCTTTGCATTCTATGTTGAACAGAACCTTTTCGGTGAAGATAACTCGTGAAGTTCAAGGTCTTGAAGGTAACAAATACTTGATCCTGTCTATTTGTTGGTGTTCAAAGTTTTGCACTGATCATATGCAAAATATAAGAAGCTATTCAAATGTACAGGTATGTTTTCATGCACGCAACATCTACAAAGGACTGATAGACAGATAATCTTTATTATCATTATAGATTCCAGCCATTAGGTTGCTGGTGTGTTAAAAAAGCATGGTGCAGAGACACATTGGTCTGGAAGAGAAACACTTTGATAATATTCATTATTGGAAAGCTTGTTGTGGACCTTCTCACCATAATCCAGAAGGTGTTAAAGGTGCAACTTCTATTCTTTTACCAAAATCTAAACCATGTTGCCACTTGCACCTAGCATTTTGAGGATCGTTATCACTTTTGGTAACAGAAACCATGTTCATATCTCTAAAAAATTGCTTACAGGTTCTAATACTTCTGCAAACACATAAGGTTGAATAGTAGTGAATACTAGAGAGGGTTTATGATCTTCTTCTGATTGTGAAAGCCATTCTTGAGGATGACTTTTTTCAGGCAATTTGATAAAGAGCACTCTACAATTGAAAGTGGAACAATGCTTCTCTAGGTTTTGGTTACATTCTTTTGTCAATGGCATATGAAACACTGCAGTGAGGCTTTTGTATCATCTTGCTCAAGTTCCTTCTTCAGCTGTTCATCTGAAGGAGCAACTTCAGGTGTTTTTCCTTACTATTTTTCTCTAAATGTATGCAAGTTAATCTATCTCATTCCAAATAATAGGAAAATAAAACCAGGTCTAACATGTTGCTGAAATGTCAATATTGGTAAACTTTGTCCGTGAACTCTGTTGATCTCTGTCGATCTATTGATATGATATGGAATATGAAATTTAGATCTGACAATTTGTATTATGCCTTTTTCTATTTCGTGTCAAATACATATAAAATATGAAAATTATCACGTCATAATTCACATCGACACGTTAAACATAAAACACATTTTTTTTGGTTAAATTTATATATTTTTTTAAATTTTAAATCGTATTATTTTTATTTATTTTTTTCTCATATTGCATTCTCCTATTGTTTTTATGAAATCTAACCGCTTTCTGTCAGTCAAGAAATGAAAATTGAAACGTGGCCATAACTTTTGTTAATTAATAGTTAATAGTTAACCATATTGAAGCTTAAAGCATTCTTACTTTTGACTATAAAAGAATTAATAAATAAAAATAGAAAATTAATAATAAAGAAAAAAGAAAGTTCTTGATACCTGCTAATTAATTTATGAATTAAATATTTGTTTTAACAAAGAAATCAATTGTTTTTAATGATTATTTTTATCTTCAATCCTACATAGCCCTCTCTCCCATCAAATTTCATATTATGTGCATATACACTATTGATTTGAAGCTTAGGATATATTTAATTTATTTGTTCAAGTTATTTATTTTTATATTTTCTATTAATTATGTAAAAATACAATTACTCTAAAATTCTTACACCTTTTATCCATCATCTAATAGAAACCATTTCCTAATTTTGGTGCAAAAATAGAGGCCACAACAACAACAATCACATAGCAAATTCTAATCAAAATAATATTGTAATTTGCAATTAAGTAGCAATAAGAATAACCAACTTCTTTTGAATTACTTAAGATTAATTAGAATTAATAAGTTAGTTAAGTTAAATTTTATTACGTACTTGTTGATGCGTGGATCATCGATTATGAGTTTCTCAAGTTGGCTTTCTTTCTTACAAGATCATATCATTATGAATAGGTGTCAAAGTAGTCCCTTATGATTTTATTCCGATATTAAGTTAGCATATGCAAAAAAAGAATGTAAGGGAAACACTAACAAGTGATTGGTTCAATCGTCTCATTTTTTTTTATGAAAAAGTTTTGGATTCGAATTTTGCCGGTGATCACTTATTAAAATCATCTCAAATACACGACTTACAGTCACTTGTTTTTTATTATCAGGTACAGTAAATCTTGCTCTGACTTGAGAGACTGAACAGCTAATCTACCTTTGAATTTTTTTTTATAAAAAAAAAAAATAAAGAAAGCATAAATCAAAAGGAACATATTATTTGTAATTATTGCAATATAATTAAATAATTATTATTTTGAATTTTGTAAAATTTATCAAAAAATTGCATGAAATTTACATTTATAAATGATAAATTTTTATATAATTTTATGTTATGATTATTATTTGTAAATTTATAATAAAAGTGAGCTCATAAGAGAAAACATGAAAATCTTAGTGAGATTGTTCATATTTTAAATAGTAATCCTACTTGAGTATATAAAACGAAATATGATAGATAATTAAATGAAAAAACCCTTATTTTACAATTTCTAAAAATTGGAAACCATTCCAAAGTTTTTATAAAACTTCAATTTTTTTTCTAAATTAATAATTTGCCTTACTTCATTAATTATATTTTAAATAAGGATTAAATTGCATATATACCCCATGAGATTTGCAACCTTTCCACTTACATCCCTTGTGAATTTTTTTCACACTTATAATCTTGGGGCCTATTTTCATTACCAGAAAAAGATAACGATGTTAAAAATAAAAATGAGTATTTTTATAATTTTATTAAAATCTAATTGATTTTTGATATCGTTATCCTTTTTTGATAAAAGAAGTAAATTATAAGATTAAAAGGAGAAAAAATTTTGCAAGGGTGTACATGAAAAATTAGCAAACCATAAAGGGTATATGTGGAGTTTACCTTTTAAATAAAAATAAAGATAAAAAATTAAAACCATTTCACCAATAACTATACGGGCCTTACAGCTAACCCGACAACCCGACCCTTTTAGTTTTCTATAACCGGAAAACGTAGAAAGATGAAGCAGGTAGAAATTTCTCTTCCTCAATTGTCCGATTGTCTCCTGAAACATACTCCAAAAAGATGTTGGTAATGACATCTCTCCAACCAAACCTAAAACCCTGTTTTAAACCCTTAATTCCGTTCCCTTCTCAAACCCCAAACTTTTTCTTTCATAAATCTCTTACTTTTTCTCCTAAAACCTCAGGTTTTGCTAAACCAATAATCCCTTTACAAGTCAAAGCTGAACCTTCTGTTCTTTCTGATGAACTTCCTCTTGATGATTCCCCCTTTGAATCTTCCTCTGGTAAACAGGTCAGCTTTTGGTTCTTTTTTTTTTCCCCAGAAAAATGGGTTTAATTGGGTTGATTTTCTTCTATCAGATAAAGATTTTAATTTTTTGGAACTTATATTTTGTTGGGTTTTTTTTTTTTTTTTTGGTGTGTTGGGTTAATGTAGAAGCTTGGAGTGGTGGTGAAGCCATTGGAGAAACCAAGGTTAGTATTGAAGTTTATATGGATGGAAAAGGATATTGGGATAGCTCTCGACCAAGTGATACCAGGGCATGGTACAATCCCTTTGAGTCCATATTTCTTTTGGCCTAGGAAAGATGCTTGGGAAGAGCTCAAGCTTTTGCTTGAAAGCAAGCCCTGGATATCTCACATGCAAAGGATTAACCTTCTCAATCATGCTACTGATATCATCAATTTGTGGCAGACAAGTGGTGGTAATTTGTCCTAAGCATTTCAATTTACACAGTTTTGTTGTAAGCTTTTACATTTCTATGTTCTTAGGACTAGTTGTAATTGTATTCCATGTTTCTTAAATTGAGCTGAATGAAGTATGGGGATGGAAACTGTATGTTCTTGTGATTGATTTTTTGTGTTTGAATTAGATGTTTGATTAATATTTGACAATGATATAAATGTGATTATCAACTTCTCTGATGGTACCTTGCATATAGTGATTATCAAGTTACATATGGACTAGTTGTAATTGTATTCCATGTTTCTTAAATTGAGCTGAATGAAACATGGGGATGGAAACTGAATGTTTTTTTGTGTGTGAATTAGTGTTTGATTAATATTCGTCGACGATATAATTGTGATTATCAACTTCTCTGATAGTACCTTTTATATAGTGATTATCAAGTTACATATACATTGCATATAATGATTATCTATTTGATGGGAAACAGATTATTTCAAAGACTAAAACAGACTAATTAGGAATAGTAGACCCTGGCTAGCTTGGCTAAGAATCAGTAACAGGTTGGCTTATTTGGTGGCTGAAGTTTTTGAGTGATAAATGTTGCTTGATTGACTAGATCTTTAGCATGAAGGACTAGAGAAAGCAACTTCTCAGTAGTTCGCATTTAATCTTTTGGTCATATTTACTTTATCGAAAAGAAAAAAAAGGTCTTTTGATCTGGAGAGCATGTTTCTTTACAAAACCTTATCACTTTCTAAAATGAAGGGAGCGTGGAAGAGAGATAGATGAAGAATTGTCTTCCTATGTTATGAAAGATGGTTGAAAATTTAATTCCAGCCCTTTGGTCACAATATTATGCTGACATTTTGGATGCATCAATGGATTTACTCATTGTTCCTTTGAGAACTGTGCAAACTTTTCATGTTAGTAAGTGCAGTTATCTCAATTATTTTAAATATGAGCTTCTAATCTGCCTGTATATGACATGACTGATATGCCTCAGTCAAAGTGAGTTCTTTGCTTGTTTGATGTGTGTCCTCTTGAACTCCTTTAAAGGAATTGTTCTCCATTGCTCTGCTAATTTGAAGTGTGAACTTCTAATCTCCTGTATATGCCATTACTGATGTGCTAAGCCATTTGAGTTCTTTATTCTTTCGATGCATATCCTCTTGAATTAACTCCTTTAATGGAAATCATCTCTATCACGTTGCACAATACATTCCTATTGAGTCCTCTCTTACACTTTTGTTTAAGGTCCAGTTACCCTTCTTATCCTCCCTTTAACATTCCACATTGGCTTCCACAAGACGTCGTTTGTCTAATATGTACTTTATTTTCTTACCATTACTCCAGAAGCCATTGTTTCCGAGATCTCCAAGATGAGTGAATCTCTGGGTTTTAGGGTACTTGCAATGTTCATGTTGTAGTATATTAGTGTAGAAAAAGTTAGATCTGTCAATTTGTGTATTCATGTCTCTGAAAGTATTAGCAATTCGTGTATTTATGTCGTGTTTTAGATAAAAATTACATCTCACAATTTGTGTCACAAGAAAACACAAAATACATTTTTTTTGTTAAACTTATGTATAGTTTTTGTTAAAATTTTAAACCATGTCACCTTCATATCTTTTTTACGTATCATTTTCGTGTTATGTTATTATATCGTGTTTTAGATTGCCAAGTCTAGCAAAAGTTAAAAATATTTTTGTTAAACATTGATGAAATGTCAAAGTGGGTATTCACTTAGATCCATTTGTTGTTTTCATGTCTGCATAACAATTTCCATTTAGATGTAGTTGAGGAAGATTTATCGCATTTGAGGAGAAAATTGAATTGTCTAATTTTCCAATGCTAACAGTAAATTTATTTTTGGAATTTGAACTTAATATTATATGTTAAGAGTTCATTATAATATGTTAAGAGTTCAAAAGCATACCTCATTTAACATCTCTAAATATCAACTCTTAAAAATAATTATATAAATCAACTGAATTAAATTTCGATTTCAATGAGGTATATCTTTAAGTTTTGCTTAGTATTAACTCTTTCCTCGAGCAATCTGAAGGGCGCAATCTTTCATGTTGATTTAGAGTAGTTAGTATTTTATTTCCAAATGCTTGTTATAATGATTGAACCCAAATTGACAAGAAAAAAAAACTAGTCTGTAGACCAACTTAACTAATTCTTATGAATAGTTGACCAGTTAATGTAATACCTATAAATAGATTTGACGATTTATGTATTCTTGTCGTGTAAAATATTTAAATCTGTGTATTCATATTGTATTTTACAAGAAAATTATTTATCACAATTTGTGTTGACACGAAAATATGAAATATAAATTTTTTGTTAAACTTATTTATAGTTATTGCTAAAATTTTAAATCATATTATTTTTATATATTTTTTATATTATGTTCGAGTTGTATTATTATGTCATATTTTAAATTATCAAATCTATTTATAAACTGATGGTATGTTCTAATTTGCAGATGTAAACAGTAAACATCGGACCATGAAATAGAAGCTAAACAAGCTAATCCTAAATCTGATACTTGTGATCCTTGTCTTGAACCATTTATTATTTAATTCTTACTTCTAATAGAGAGTTCAGCTACAATGATAGAAACTCATTGTAAATTGGAAAAAGCCGTTAATAAAAATGGAACACAGAAATTTATCTACCATTTTCTTGTTCTTCTCTCAAAGGATCATCATGGGTGGATCCATGTGTATTTGTAGGGTGTTTATGTACATCTTTAAAGATTAAAATATAAAATTTTTGAAAAAAAAAAATTTCTCAGACCCTTCCCAAAATTTTTTCTTAAACATCTTTTTCGTTGATAGAATTAGTAAATTCGTTGGTAATTATATATATATATATATATATATTATAAGTGGATATCATCGAAAAAAAATTAAAGATCCGTCATTAAATATCATTGTCTATTAGAGTATATGAATATCTAATATGATAATCCTTATGTTATGTTTGGTGTATAGGATCATGAATAGGATACGATGATAATTATTTTTTATCATATTTTGTTTGTATGTGAAAAAAAAAAAAGAATAAGATTACAAGGAGAGAACTATTTTTAATTTGTAGGATCAAATTTATATGTTCTATTATATTTTTTAAAATTATATCAATAATTTAAATTATAAAATTTTAAGAAATGATAAATTTGATCAATAAATAAAATTAATCAATTATAATCTTTACACACATTAAATATTGATATTATTTAATCTAATTCATTTCATATCATTTTATCTTATTTTATTATAATTTTTTACACCGATAAATTAAAGGTATAAGACCAAGTTAAGTCTAGAAAGATAACAAGGGAGAATAGTCTAGGCAAATTTCAAAAATACAATGTATACGTCGTACCAACAAAAATTAGTATAAGTTGTTAAGGTTTAGAATCTGAATATAAAATATTTAAATTTAAATTTTTACGATATTTTATTAATGGATGATTTGTAAATTAAAATTTTTTTTATAAATAACAAAAGAATTCGTAAATTTATTTATGAATAGATGACTTGCCTTTCTCTACTCCTAAATATTTTATTTACTAAAAAAAAAAAAACTTGTACGTCATTTGTACTTCTAAAAATGTCACATGGACATCATTTATCCAGATTAAATACCCACTTGTCCTAACTACGCTTAGGTGCATTACACTTTGCATGAGCCATGAAGTAACGTATAAGGTTGGAAGGTATATTCCAAGCATTCTACTCTAATTTCAAGTTTAACTAATTACACTAATTTTTTATTTTTCACGTACTTATTTGAGTGTCGGAGCATGTTTCAATTATCCCTTTGATCCTTATTTTTTCCTTAATAGGTCGGATGTTTCCTCCATTCAAGTCACATGATAGATTTCACCTCGTTAATCCAAAAAATACCTTCTCTCTTCTAAGTGTATTGCTCAATGAAATTTTAATTTATTAGCAATAAAGACAATTTGTCTTGCCAAGTCAAATTTAAAATTTAAAATTAAATATGCATGCATGGAGTAGAAGAAAAAAAATACTCTTTTCTTGAAATTAATAGGAAAAAATATATTATAATTGACGGTGCATATATATAAAGGAAAGGTCCATTTAATTAGTGTAAAAGTTACACATTTTTTTATCTAGTTAAATATTAGTGTTATAGATTTAATTTTAATTTATAAGTTAAAAAAAATGTAACTCTTACATTAATGTAAGTGAGTCCGGAGTAAGGATCTATTTATATTAATGCAACTCTTACATATTTTTTGGACTTTTGGATCGATGTTACTAAATTTAAAAATATTATTTTAATTCAAATGAGTTATGAATTTAAATTAGTCTAAAAATAAAAAAAGTATAAGATATACACTAATGTAAATATATCCTAACTCATATATAAATAATTGGTTTTTATTTTTTTTTTTGTTGAAATTCTTTCCTCACTTTATTGTCATCGCACTTATCGGCTTTAGTTTTTCTCTTTATGAGTTTGATCCAATTAATAAATGATTGGTTTATGTAATAATTATTTTATACATCGTTAGTTATTCAATAATACAAATCTAATCTCATTATAAAGGAAATAAAAAATTATTGTATTATCTATTTACTTGCATTTTTTTAACATTTTGATTCATATAATAAAAAAAAAAATTTATGTATAGTTATATATATATTACTCGACAAGTAAAAGGAATTAATATACATAGATTATCAAATATGTTTCTATAAAATAACTGATTTTATATATTTTTACATAAATAAATTGTTTCATTTATACATACTTCCATCTCATTTTTTTTGGATTTCTGAAAATTATGTACACTTAAATGCCTTAACTTTTTATATTTTAGAATTATTTTTATGTTTTTTTTATGTTTTGCTTTTTACCGAAATTATGAAACTTCAAGTTTATAAAAAAAAAATTTAATATTGTATGGACTAAAATCAAATATTTCCTTTACACTCCATAAAAATCAATAGAAGATTAAAAATTATAGACCGAAGAGTATCCGATTATATATATTTGATGTATGGGGTTAGTAGATATTATACTTTCATAAATCATAAATAACACTCATAAAAAAAGTATTTTAAATATATTTTTAAGATTAAATGTATTAATTTATTTTTAGAATTTTATAATTTTAAACTTAACTTTCGTGGTATATATTATTATATCGTTAACTGATAATGTATAATATTTTTATATTGATAATGTAATAAATATAAATTCTAAACATATTGCTAACCTAGAGATATGTATACTAAAAACAAAAAATAGTAATATTTTGTAAGCTTCTTTTTCATAAAAAAAAAAAAGAAGAAAGAAAACCTAGCATATCATGGGAAATTTATCTCGATATTAAAGTTGAAAATCTCAATGACATGAAAGCTAACAAAAAAAACATATATATATTTTGTAAGGATTATATTTGATATCATGTTAGTGTATAGCGTTATACGATGTTAATATATTTAATTAGTAAAAAATCTAAAATTTTAGAAACATTAGAAGTAAATTTTTTAAAATTTAAATATTTAATGATATTAAAACAAAATAATGATGTAATGGCTTATGAAGCACTAATAGTGTATAGTATTTATAGTATTTATACACTAAGAATACATAATATATAAATACATATATGAAAGGAATTTATATTTGATGGTTGTCAATGTATAAATTTTATAAATTGTCAATGAATCATATGATATCTTATCATTAATAAACAATATCAATTTTTAAAATAAATATATTAAAATTAATATTTTTTAAAAATTTATTCATCAATGAAATAGTATCATTTATTCATCTTATAAATGAAATGTCATATTTGATTTACTGATGATTAAAAATTGTATAAAATAATTACTCCACATTAGTATATGTTTTTTTCATTAAATCATGTCACGCAAGTAACCACATTAATGAAAAGAGTCAATCATTTATTATACATCACAACATAAATATGTTGAAATAAATTTTATTATTTAATTATCAAGTATGATATATAATAAATAATTGATTTTTTCTAATAATATAATTACATGGCATGATTTGAATAAAGAAAACATACGCCAACGTGGAATATTTATTGTTTCATAGAACCCTTTCTCTTCACTGACAATAGAATTTATACGAATACTTAGTATTAAATATCTAATCCCATTTGAAAGTTATGTTTTGTCTAAATTTAAAGGTGATCCCTAGTCAATCGCTTTGTCTCAAAATTCTACCTTATTCACAGGAAAAATCCGATGAGCTATTCAATTTTAACGACCATTTCTATGCAAGAATCCTAAATTTAGACGCTTCCACTTGCTATAAAACCTGCCATGCATTCTCAATTCCATCAAGCAACAAAGCAAAGACATTGAGAAAGAGAAACTGTGTTTTCCAATAAAGTTTCTCTTCCGTCCGACTCCCTTCAACTTGGTTGGGAATCGGATTGGTTTGGCTCTGTTTGCTCTAGCCAGCCACTGGGAGAAACCATTTATAAAAGAAAAACTAAAAAACATTGTCTGATATGGCTATGGGTAATGTTGTTATTTCGGGGATTTCCATCATTCTTGTGGTGGGAGTCGTCCTCGGCGTTGTTGCTGCAGTTCATCGTAGTGGCGATGATAATTCCAAATTGTCTCCACAAATGAAGGCGGTGTCGAGTTTCTGTTCATCAACAGATTACCAAGGAACTTGCCAGAAGACCCTCAGCTCTGTCAACAGCACTGATCCCAAAGATTACGTTGCCCAATCTATCTTGGCCTCTGAGGAAGCAGTCAAGAAGTTCTTCAACTATTCTGATTCCTTGATCGTTTTGGCCAAGAACGATAGCCGCACGAAGATGGCATTGGATGATTGTAAGGAGATGATGGACTATGCCGTTCAGTCCCTTCAAGCATCGTTCTCCGAGGTGGGTGATAGTGAATTGAGAAGCCTTAATGAGCGAACAGCCGATCTCAGGACCTGGTTGAGTGCTGTTATCTCATACCAACAGTCATGCTTGGATGGTTTCGAACATGACAGCAACATGAAACAAAACATGGAAACTGGTATTGTTGATGCTAGTGAACTCACATCAAATGCCTTGGCAATTGTGACAAAGTTGTCGGATACTCTTTCTAAGTTCGGTCTCCAGTTGAATATTCCTACCTCCCGTAGACTTCTTTCTGTTGAGAACAATGGCTATCCCTCATGGTTCTCTGCTGCAGACCGCAAGCTTTTGGCTAGGATTGATAACCGTAACTTGAGACCAAATGCTGTTGTGGCTAAAGATGGCAGTGGCCAGTTCAAGACCGTTGCTGCTGCCCTTGCTGCGGCTCCCAAGAACTCCAGGGTCCGACATGTGATCTATGTCAAGGCTGGAATCTATGACGAGTACATCACCGTGGACAAAGACACCACCAATATCCTCATGTACGGTGATGGCCCAAGAAGGACCATTGTAACAGGCCACAAGAACTTCGTTGATGGCACATCCACCTGGCAAACTTCTACTTTCTGTAAGTTTCTAAGAACTCAGAGCCGTTAGTTGATCATAAATCATGATTCTGCCAAATAAATTTGTTTTATATATAATTTCTGCTAGAATGGTATTATCACACGTATGTTAAATATTGGATTTCTTGTCCTTTTATATTCAAGTTGAGTATCTCTTGCTATTGCCAATTGGTTTTAGATCGGGCACTTAACAATTTGCTGATTTTAATGGTGCAGCCGCTATTGGAAATGGGTTCATTGCCAAATCCATGGGATTCCAGAACACTGCTGGACCACAAAAGCACCAGGCTGTGGCTCTTCGCATTCAGTCCGATAAGTCAGCCTTCTTCAACTGCAGGATGGATGGCTACCAAGACACCTTGTACAATCAAGCAAACCGTCAGTTCTTCCGCAATTGTGTCATCTCTGGAACCATTGACTTCATCTTCGGTGACTCTCCTACCCTTATCCAGAACTCATTGATCATTGTCAGGAGGCCATTGGATAACCAACAGAACACAGTGACTGCACAAGGCAAGACCAATGCTAATGAGAACACTGGTATCGTGATCCAAAACTGCAGGATTGTTCCCGAGCAAAAGCTCTTCGCTGACAGGTTCAGGTTGCCAACATACTTGGGCAGGCCATGGAAACAATTCTCTACAACTGTTATCATGGAATCCACCTTGGGAGACTTCATTAATCCAGAGGGATGGTTGCCATGGGCTGGAAGCAATTTCCTCAACACCCTCTACTACGCTGAGTACAACAACCGTGGCCCTGGTGCCAACACCGCCAGGAGGGTTAACTGGAAGGGTTACCACAGGATCGACAGGAAAACCGCCATGAGCTTCACCGTTCAATCATTCCTTTTGGCTCGTGAAAACTGGTTGCCCTTCACTGGCATTCCTTTCACTGCCGGGTTGAAATATTGAAGACATTTTAATGGCGAAAATCAACAGCACAACAACCTACAAAGAAAAGAACTTTACAGTGGTCTCTTAGAAATAGGAAATGGAGGCGCAGCTTATCTCATTACATAATTTTCTTTTTGTAAATTTCTGTTTAGAGATCCCTTTCAGGGCTCTTAAGTCCATGTCTTTGTCTTTGTTGCTCTATTGTAATTCATTCATTGATAAAAATAAAAAACTCATTCGCATAATATATATTCCATAATATTATAAACATACATACATACATACATATATATATATTAATACTATCTATATTTTCTTCTGATCATATCAATGGCGGACCATCATTGGAGCCTGTGGTGAAATTTTAACGTCCAAAAATTGGGTAGTGAAATGTTTGTAAAAAGAGTTTTTTTTCCTCCATTGATGATCATGTTGTATCTTTTCTTGTTAATCCAAGATTTGAAAGTTTAAAAAAAAAAAAAAAGAGTTACATCCAATTGTATAAAAACACTATATGCAAAAATTATATAGTGGCGTATTATATAACCATGTTAGATTCTTTTCATTGTTGGTTTAATTTTAATTACTTTAAAATTGCATGTAATGTTGTAATTTTTACAAGATAGTGCTATGAATGGCCTCATAAATTATAATAAAATATTTAAGATGATACTTAAATTTAAAAAACTCTAATATATTACATAAATTATAAATTTATTAATTAATATGTATTTGTTGGAGGGTTATTTATTCATCATGTATTATCATTTGTGGTTAACCATGTTAGAGATAAATACTCTATTAGTCAATAAGTTCATGATTTAGATATCAAAGATTTTTAAAATTTAAATATCCCACTAAATATTTCATTATAATTTAGAAATCATTCATAACATTATAAAAAATGTTAATATCTAAGAAAATTTACAAGCGCTAAGAGTTGAATATTAATTTTATAAAATTTAATTTTTTTTAAAAAATAGATGAACCATTTAGACTAAATTCAAGTTCTCTTAATCTAACAATATTTAGAATCCGATACTAAAATAGAGTTTGACAAACTTGACCATAAAATTGGTGTAGCTCCATCTTGAATTCAAGTAGAGTACTGTGCTGAATCCATATGCTGGACTGATGAAGATAACAAGTACTACAGTCTTTCTTTCTTAAGGCTTCTTTACCTCTCTTCTACCAAAAATTTTCCCCTTCATGAAACCATCTAGCTCATATTTATGATTAATGAATCCTAATCCATTAGGTTCGTTACAAATTCATTGCAAAAGAGGAACTAAATTAGAATAAATATACATCAGAATTTGTTGACTCTGAAACCAAATATATTGCTTGGAGTGTTTTTCAAAATTCAACTTATTAGGGTCTCATCTGATTAAACAATGAGAGTAATTTTTATAAAATTAAAAACAAATGTCAAGATAAAATTAATTATTATAATGATGAGATCAAAAGTAATAATAAAATAAGCGTTTAGACGCTAAAACAATGATATGATTAGATGAAAATAAAAAATAATTATTGAGGATTTAATTTAAGAGTGTGTTGATAAATTATTTTTACGCATACTTTAATGTTATCTATAGCATGTAAAATCTTAAAAATTTTATTTTCAATCAAAATATTAATATATATTATTTATTTTTTTATTATATGTTAATAAAAATGATTTATTTATTAATTTATTATATAATAAAAATATTTATTATATTAAATAAAAAATTTTATTTCAATATTTTTAAATAAAAAATTAAAATGAAAAAACAAAAAATCCTTATAATTTTAAGGAAAAAATGAAAAAAAAAAAACATAAGGGTAAATTTGAAAAAATAATGCAATGGGAGCAAATTATTTTCTCTAGAGCTAAAAGTTCTGCTGATTAAGTGGCACTAATTGTGCCACAATGGTGATATCCAAACACTAAAATGTTGTTTTGAACCTTATATATATATAAACACACACGAATCGTCGTGTCTACAGTAAAGGACAAAGTTCATGTCTACATTAAACCAGAAATTCACTATTTAGTGAGTTGGTCCGGGCCTGAGTAGTAACGAGGACTGTTTTCCCACTAAACGGGTCATCCATTTCCCAAAAAATAAACAAAAAAGCAAATTTCATTGCTTACCAAAATCCAGTGTTTTAACATTCTCCGCCCCGCCTATCTTCTGTTATTTCTTTACTTCCCCTCACTGTGTCAAAAGAATCTAACGCAACCAAAGAATCTACCACTATTCATTTCTCTGTAAGACTTCATATCTCCCACATGCTTTCGTTTTTATTTACTTTCGCAGTTTTTTCATATTATTTCGTAAGTTTTATATGATATTTTTGTTCTAATTCTAGACTCTGACAGCATTAAGCATTTCTAGTTTTCTTGGGTGTTTTATGGTTACCCATCTGAACCTTGATCTGAATGCACGTGTCTACACGTGTTTCTGTTTTTTAATAAAGTAAAAGGGTCGTCGGACAGTCCAGGAAAAATCACTTTTAGTTTTGTCTTTGATCTCAAAGTAAAGGCAGCGGTAAATGTAGACCTGGCAATTCGTGTATCATTGTCATATATGTTTCATTTCGTGTCAAACATATGTAAAATATGAAAATTATCGTATCCATGTCTGACATGCACAAGCTCATATATGGTTTTTATCGAAATTTTAGACCGAGTTATATCGTTTAAGTGTCATATCATTATATCTTGTCAAAAATTACTAAGTTTAGGTAACTGCTAACGGTAATTGCTTGTTCACCAATCAACATGGTTGGTTCTCCAAGAATTTTTTTAGAATGTTCAGGACCCATCATAAGTAGGCTTGAACAGATACTGAAGTCATTAGGTTGATAAACTATATTAATATGTGTAATTAGTAGGGTAGGGGGTTTATTTTGCCTTAATGGGGATATTAATGTTTAAACTGATAGGTATGTACTGTTTCTAATTGTTCTAATTAAATGCTTTATTTTGTTTGTACTCGAAGTTGATGATATGGGGAGTGGAGCAGAGGCAGAACAAGTCTGGAGGTGGTAAGTATTTTTTTTGCTCAGGTTGGTTAGATTTCATTAGTAATGTGCCATAAAGGTGTGGCGGTTTCTAATTGTGTGGATGTTTTGTTGTTGTTGTTGATTTTTAGGAGGGAAAAAAGAAGAAGTGAAGAAGGAGACTGGTTTGGGTCTCTCCTTTACCAAGGATGAGAATTTCGGGGAGTGGTACTCTGAGGTGCAATGACTTAGTGCCTGTTTATACTATGTTATTGAGATCTTAGTATCTTATTTTATATATCATCTTGGCTTTTGTAGGCTGTTGTCAATGGTGAAATGATTGAGTACTATTGACATTTCTGGCTGTTATATTCTGAGGACATGGGCAATTTCAATTTGGGAGATCATGCAAGTGAGTCATATGATGTTTATACTCATATTGCTCTTTAAATGTAAATAAGAAGTGTTAATTAATTAACAAGGAAAAAAAATTTATGATTTCATTCCTCGAATCTTTGGTTTTCTTTTCTGTTTCGCTTTCATGGTTAACTTATCCACGGTGTGTATAACTGTAGACATTCTTGATGCTGAAATCAAGAAAATGAAAATCAAGAACTGCATTTCCCTCTCTTTGTATCTCCAGGCGTTTTGCAAAAGGAGAAGGATCATATGAGGTTTTGCTCCAGAGGTGAGAAACAATTTTTTTTTTTTTTGGCATAATTGACCTTGTGGAATGCTTCGCAGCTTGAAAGTGTTGGTTTCTTTTTTTATCAAACTTTTTGAAGCCATTTGAAACTCATTTTGTTCCTAAACTTTTTTGCCCTGTTTTCAATGATTTACTTCATTTTGTGGAAATCCATAGTTTAGTTTCTATCTAGGGCTCAAATTTGGCAAGTTCTTCCTCATTTGAGCAAGATACTTTCATGAATATGCTGAAAAAATGGCAATATTTCGATGTTTTTATACTTTTTAGCACTGGACTTATGCAACACTTAAGTTTTATGCATTTTTTTACTAGAAATGTTATGTGATCTAATGAAAAAATGACATGTGAATGGCTTTGGGATCCTGGTTTAATCAGGTTGCTTGGGTGACCAAATCTGGGGAGTCTGAGTTAGAGGTGCCAATTGCAATCCGCCCAACTAGTGAGACAGTTATGTATCCCTATTATTCTAAGTGGATTAGAGGACACCGTGACTTGCCTTTGAAACTTAACCAGTGGTGCAATGTCGTTCGATGGGAATTTAGCAATCCCACACCATTTATCAGGTAATTGTCTTAAAATTGGTCAACTTTAGCTTTTCCGGTGTTATCCTGCATCCTTTTCCCCCCTCTCCTTCCGTGGATGGGATATGGTATGCCATACATGTAATGAGATGTTAATTTTCGTAAAATTTTCTAATCTTGGTTCAATTTTCTTATCCTTAGTTATTAATGTTTACAGATGAGAACATTATTTTCTCAATTCTTTTGATGCCAAGTTAGAAAATTAATTTAAAATGATTTGATGATAGATTGGTCACCACTAACTTGCTTCTTAATTGTAGGAGTCGTGAATTTCTATGGCAGGAAGGGCATACTGCCTTTGCAACAAAGGAAGAGGCAGACACAGAGGTAGCATAGACTTAAAATTTTTACCTTTGATCAACATTTCAACCTTAGAGAGCTGAAGTTTGCCCATTGTTCTATTGGTGTACAATGGAATAGGGAAGGTTAAAGTAAATAGAAATTTTGCATGGCTGATCCTTTTCTTTTTCATATTTATCTACAATTAAATTTTGGTTTAAAATGGCATTTTTGCCTCAGAATTGCCGAATGAAGTATTTAAGTAAGCATTTCAGAAATTTCCCATGTGATCTTATTTTGAATAATTTCAATATTTTGTTGGTTTCTGTGCTGTGTCAAAAGTCAAAGTCATATTTCATTGCTGTTACAGATTTCACTTGTCTTGCCTTTTGAAGTATCATTGAAGGATGTGCTAGATCCTTAGAACCTTTTATGTGTGTCTAAATATGGTTTTGTTGGTGAATATATTATGGAAGGGGGACTGAGGTGGCAAAAATGACATGCTGAGTTATATGTATTTATTGTTGAAATACT